ATAGACTGTTACAAAAGACTCACAAAGACTGTTACAGGAACTCCAAAGACACACACAAAGACTCACAAGACTCCAAAGACTCGCAAGACTCCAAAGACTCGCAAGACTCCAAAGACTCACACAAAGAAAGACTATCATAACCCCCCCCCCATAGCACTGTGACGACCCTTCTCCTGTCGATGTATCCAAACGACCGATATAAAATGGTTTGTCATATACCAGATCGCGTCTTTGCCTATTGACGGTCGCTGTGAGGTTACTGGTCAAGGTGGATTGGTCGTGCTGTGAGGTTACTGGTCGTGCTGTGAGGTTGGTCGCTGGAGGTTGCTGGTCGCTGTGAGGTTACTGGTGTGCTGTGACGTTACTGGCCGTGCTGTGAGGTTGTTGGTCGTGCTAGAGGTTGTTGGTCGTGCTGTGAGATTACTGGTCGTGCTGTGAGGTTACTGGTCGGTCGGTCGTTCTGTGAGGTTACTGGTCGTGCTGAGGTTGCTGGTCAATGAGGTTACGGTCGTGCTGTGAGGTTACTGGTCGTGCTGTGAGGTTGCTCTGCCAGGAGGTTGCTGGTCGTGCTGTGAGGTTGCTGCACAGATTCCAGTTGTAATAAGGTCCCAGTTCCCACAGGCCCAGTTCTAATAGGCCCCTGAACAGGCCCCAGTTATAACAGGCCCCAGTTAACAGGCCCCTGGTTCTAATAGATCCCAGTTCTGGCACCCAGTTCTAATAGACCCAGTTCTAATAGGCTCCAGTTATAACAGGCCCCAGTTCTAATAGGCCCCAGTTCTAATAGACCCCAGTTCTAATAGACCCCAGTTCTAATAGGCCCCAGTTATAACAGGCCCCAGTTATAACAGGCCCCAGTTCTAATAGATCCCAGTCTTAATTACCTTCAAACTAACCTAATCCTAACCTGTACCTAATCCCCAAACTAACCTAATCCTAACCTGTACCTAATCCCCAAACTAACCTAATCCTAACCTGTACCTAATCCCCACACTAACCTAATCCTAACCTGTACCTAATCCACACAACCTAATCCCAACTTACTGTGATATTGATTAGACCCATTTGGATTAGGACCCGCTACTGGGCTGGCCAACAGACTAGTTGGCCAACAGACTAGTACTGGGGCCCAACAGGACTACGTACGGGCACAGACTGGGCCCACTGGGCAACAGGACTAGTACTGGGGCCCAACAGGACTAGTACTGGGGCCCAACAGGACTAGTACTGGGGCCCAACAGGACTAGTACTGGGGCTAACAGGACTAGTACTGGGGCCCAACAGGACTAGTACTGGGGCCCAACAGGACTAGTACCAGGATAGGACTAGTACTGGGGCCCAACAGGACGTCTGGGGCCCCACTCAACCAACCACTCTCTCCAATAGACAAGATTGATTTGCAAATCTATACACAGACATAATTCGCCCCCAACCACCACTACCAGCAACAACACGAATAACAACACCACCAACAACCACCACTACCAGCAACAACACCACCAACAACCACCACTCCAGCAACAACACACCACCAACAACCACCACTACCACAACAACACCACCACAACCACCACTAAAAAGCACCCACCACCACCACTACAGCAACACACCAACAACCACCACTACCAGCAACAACACCACCAACAACCACCACTATCACCACACACCACACCACCACCAACAACACCACCACCACGCCTCAACAACCAACAACAACACCAAGAACACCATCCCCTACCATCACATCCCCCTACCACCACTATTCCCCCTACCATCACCACCATCCTCCCCTACACCACCACCATCCTCCTCACCACCACCATCCCCCTACCACCACCACCACCATCCTCCTACCACCACCATCATCACACCCCACCACCATCCCCTACCACCACCACCATCCCCTACCACCACCATCTACCACCCCTCCACCACCATCACCCTACCACCACCACCATCACCACCGCACCATCCCCCACATCACCCCCTACCACCATCACCCCTACCACCATCACCCCCCTACCACCATCACCCCCTACCATCACCCCTACACCCATCACCCCTACCACCATCTACCACCATCCTCACCACCATATTGCCGGGTTATTGAAAATGGGGAAGTTGAGTGTAATTTTGGAGGTTCGATACCCAGTTCATCAATGGTGGAGAATGGTGGCGACAGAGACATCGACTCGGGTGGTGGCGTGAGTTGAGTGGGGGTGAGAGGAGGGGTTGGGAGGGAGTGAGTGAGGGAGAGAGTGAGTTGAGTGGGGGTGAGAGTGAGGGAGAGAGGGAGAGAGTGAGTTGAGTGGGGAGAGAATGAGTTGACGGAGGGAGAGAGTGAGTGAGTGAATGAACGAACGAGAGAGAGTGAGTGAGTGAATGAACAAGAGAAGATGTGAACGAACGAACGAAAGTGAATGAGAGAGAGAGAGAGAGAGAGAGAAATGCCTCAATACCCTACCATGTTGTTTACCTGCTGGTTGTTATGTTACCTTATTCCTATACGGTAAACAGGCCGACCCTAACTAGACGATGAGCAAATACCCGCGAACGTCAGCTGGCCAGAAAAATGATGGCCGCTCTTATAGGCAGTGACTAAACCCTGACTGACGAAGATGTGTGTGTGTGTGTGTGTGTGTGTGTGTGTTCGCAGATATATTTCTTTGTGTGTACAACTAAACGTATTTGTCTGTGTGACTGTATGTAAAAATGAACGCATGTGTGTGTGTGTAAAAGTAAACGTGTGTGTGTGTGTGTGAACCCCAAGCACTGAACCTGAATCTGAACCTCGAAACCTCAATCTGAACCCTTTAGCCCGAATCTGACCCTTGAGCCCCGAATCTGAACCCTCGAACACTGAACCCTTGAACCCTTGATCTGTACTTCCTGAGCTGGTTCAATTCGTAAGAAAAAAAAAACACTTATTATTAATATATATATCTGACAAGGTCTTTCTATGCTAACTGACAAATCTTGGAGAGTGTGTGTGTGTGTGTGTGTGTGTGTGTGTGTGTGTGTGTGTGTGTGTGTGTGTGTGTGTGGTTGGGTGGTGGTTGTGACGAAGACAGTTACAGTGAATTAAGAGGAAAGTCGGTGCGATCTTTGACTTACATTTCCTCCTCCTCCTCTTCTCTTCTCCTCCTCCTCCTCCTCTTTCTCCTCCACTCCCTTCCATCTCTCCTCCTCTCCTCCTCCTCTTCTCTCCTCCTTTTCCTCCTCCTCCTTTGTTGTGATGGTATGGTTGGTACCCGTGTGTGGTAATTTTATGAGGTGACGTAATAGTGTTCTGAATTTTATGAGGTTAGGTTAGGGATGGGTTAAGTTAGGTTAGGGATGGGTTAGGTTAGGTAAGGTTAGGCTAGGTTACGTTAGGGATGAGTTAGATTATCCCTAACCTAACCTAACCTTAACCTAGATATAATAAGAGGTGTAGTTAATGGCCGTGTTAATACTTTCTCATTATGTTTCTTGACAGCTTTTGTTGTTATCTGTTTCCGGTGTGAATAATGGCCGTTGTTTATGTGTGTCATGGGAAATTATGTATAATATATATATATATATATATATATATATATATATATATATATATATATATATATATATATATATATATATATATATATATATATTCTCTCTCTCTCTCTTTTTCTTTCTCCAGATCTCTTCACATCATTTCTCTTCTCCTCTCTTTTCTCCTCATTAAATTCTCTTCTGTCTCTATCCTTCCTTTCCTTTCATCTCTCTCTCTCTCTCTCTCTCTCTCCCTCAAGGAGTTTTTACACAACTAGTTGCCAATTTGGGGTTTTAATGTGAAGGATTTTTCAGTCTCAAATTTTAGTGGTGCAGTATTTATTTTTATTTTACTTGATACTGAGGCTTTTATTAGTCGTAATATTTACCAGTTGAAATACGTTGGGTAGAGATTGACCTTAAGTTAGAATTATGGAGAGAGAGAGAGAGAGAGAGCACCTCAGTTATACAGAGAGGTTGGGACGTCTTCAACTGCCAAGCACTAGCTTATACTGAGCAAGGGGGGATCTAATTGAAGTTTATAAACATCTCAGGGGGCACTACTCAGTTGAGTGTCCTTACTTGGAGCTGGCGGACGCTCGCCCCACAAGGGGTCACAGCTCAAGGTTGAAGAAGCCACAAGTCCAGAAAACTGTGAGGGAAAACTTTTCGGAGTGAGAGTTGTGAACTCTTAGAATAATCTGCCAGAGAGTGTAAAAGTAAAGTATCACTCCAGCGCCCAGGGTGACTTACGCAGTTACCCCTTCTAGATCCGTCGTTTTCTTTGATAATAAACCACCGGGTCTGGTACCCTGTTGTGGTGTATTTGGACAACAGGTAGCCATTGGTGGAACGAGGGCTTCTCATTGGCTCATTAGCGGAACGAGAGCTGCTCATTGGCGTTCTCATTCCTAGGCACCTATATATTATATTTGAGTAACTCCCGCATAAATATATAAATTGATAAATCCTGTATACTTACAGTAGGTGTCTAAGTAAAGTAAATAAAATACGCACTTAAGGGAATAAAAGTAATCGTCGAACGTTATCCCGTCTACTTAAGGAGACGATATAAGTGTGCAAGTAATTATCCCCTGGGGTCTGATTTACTGAAGTATTAGCTTATTGCCGTGGGTCCACCAGTCCTAGGCCCCAGTACCATAAGTTCCCAGTAAAGCTAGGTTAGGTTACCCGTGGGCCCGTACTATATACCTGCACTGTCTATAGACATGCTGAACTGTATACCTGCATTGTATGTATACCTGATGAACTGTCACCTGCACACATGCTAAATCAATTGTAAACTTGTATGGTGATATTACAGGATAAACATCTATCAATATTTCTATCTATCTTCCAGGCGGAGCACATTGTTACCGTGGGTGCTGCCGCCTGCGTGTAGGAGGAGGAGGAGGAGGAGGCGGCGGTGGTGGTGGTGGTGGTGGGAGCAGCGGCCACACCCCCTCCCTGGCCATGTCACGCCCCTACCCATCTCGCCCCCCCCCTCCATGTTCCTCAGCGATGGCGGCAAGAACAACCCCTTCGATAATGTTAGCTTTAGGTGAGTCAATCAGTAGGTGGTGGTGGTTGTTACTCTTGTTATGATGTTGTTACTGTTGTTATAATGTTGTTAAAGTTGTTATAATGTTATAAATTTGTTATTGTTCGTTATGTTAGTAATTGCATTATTCCATCAACTATTAACAAATTATGAGATATGACTCGCTAGGTTGGGGTAGGTTAGGTTTGGTTAGGTTAGGTTAGGTTAGGTTGGGGGGGGGAGTTCCTTATGGAATGGGACCATTAAAAATTGGGACCTATTAGAGCCAGGACCCCATTAGAACTAGGACCCCCATTGAACTAGGACCCCCGTTAGACTAGGACCCCATTAGAATTAGGACCCCCATTTGACTGGACCCATGAACTAGGACCCCCATTAGAACTAGGACCCCGTTGATAGGACCCCGTTAGATCTAGTATCCCCATTGAACTGGGACCCCCGTTAGAACTAGGACCCCATTAGAACTAGGACCCCATTAGAACTAGGACCCCGTTGAACTGAGAACTAGGACCCCATTGAACTAGGACCCATTGGAATTGGGACCCCATTTGAACTAGGACCCCATTGAGACTAGGACCCCATTGGAACTAGGACCCCCATTAGAATTAGGACCCCCATAAAACTAGGACCCCATTGAACTAGTATCCCCATTAGACTGGGACCCCGTTAGAACTGGGACTCCCATTAGAACTAGGACCCCCATTAGACTAGGACCCCGTTGGAACTGGGACCCCATTGGAATTGGGACCCCAAGACTGGGACCCCATTAGAACTGGGACCCCATTAGAACTAGGACCCCATTAGAACTAGGGACCCCCATAAACTAGGACCCCATTAGAACTGGGACCCCCGTTAGAACTAGGACCCCATTAGAACTAGGACCCCCATTAGAACTGGACCCCGTTAGAACTAGGACCCCATTAGAAACTGGGACCCCCATTGGAACTAGGACCCCGTTAGCTGGAATGAACTAGGACCCCCATTGGATGGGACCCCCATGGAACTGGGACCCCGTTGGAACTAGGACATTGAATTGGACCCCCATTTGAACTGGACCCCATTGGAACTAGGACCTCCATTAGAACTAGGACCCCCATTAGAACTAGGACCCCATTAGAACTAGGACCCCATTAGAACTAGGACCTCCATTAGAACTAGGACCCCCATTAGAACTAGGACCCCCAAGAATTAGGACCACCATTAGAACTAGGACCTCCCCCATGACCTTATTACCAGAGAGTGAATAACCTGTCCTTGATAAACACTTCTCTGTAGGGGCGGGTCCGATAAGACGAGTCGCCTGGGGGATAAGCAGGAGGTCTTCAACTACACCTTCGGCAGTATTGAGGATGAAGGAGGCGTCACCCGACCGTAAGTGGATGGATGGGACTCATTGATTGGTTGATTGATACCGATAGGGATTAAGAGCGGTTTTGATTGGTTGGAGGAGGTGATGGGTTGATTAAGAATGGTTTTGATTGGTTGGTAGAGGTGAAAGGTTGATTAAGAATAGTTTTGATTGGTTGGAGGAGGTGAAGGGTGATTAAGAATGGTTTTGATTGGTCAGGGTGAAGACGATGTAAGTGGATTGGGCCGATTGGTTGGTTGATAGCCGATTCGGAGTGGTTTTGATTGGTTGGGATGTGTTTGAGCCTTTAAATGGATTGAAGTGATTGGTGGATAGCTAAAAAATGTGATTTTGATGGGGAGAGGGATAGAGATAAAAACGGATGAGAGGGATGGCGAGAGAGAATGGGAGGATGGCGAGAGAGGATAGAGATAAAAACAGAGTGAGAGAGGCGTTTATGCATCCATTGGTCCTGGAAGATATTATTAAGTGTTCAGTACATGAATTTAATAGGATATTGTAGGACTGTAGGATATGAGGTGTGTACTGTACGTGTGTGTTGCAGGGACCCCGGGGAGCTACAGCAGGAGGTGTTGGAGCTGGCACACACCAACCGGCGCCTCACGGGGGAGAACGCAGACCTCACCGCCCACCTCACCCACGCCGAGGATACCAACCTCTCCCTCAGAGAACAATGCCACCACCTGGAACACACGCTCAGCAGGTATGAGATTCCTGGCCCCTCCCTCCCTCCCTTGCCCTCCTGCCCCCTTCTCCCCCTTTCCTCTTCCCCTGTCCACCTCCCCTTTCCTCTTCCCCTGCCCACCTCCCCCTCTCCCTCTTTCCCCTCTCCCTCTGCCGCTCTCCTCCTACATCCCCCTTATCCCCTACATTACTCCTCCTCCTCCTCTCCTCCTCCCTCCTCCTCCTCCTCCTCCTCCTCCCTCCTCCTCCTCCTCCTCTTCTCTTCCTCTCAGTCTGCTCTTCTTCCTGTTTCTAATCCTCTTCTTCTTTCTCTATGTAGATAAACCTGAAATATGCCATGTATGAATAGCATTAATACTAATTACTAACTTATCTACCTTATCTACTTTAGGTTAAATTTGGTTCTGTGAAGATACGGAAGACTTTGTTAAATTCAGCATGTTAATCTCACATATGCACTTATTAACACGGACTTATAACAATATTAACACAAATTATCCTCATGTCGCAAAACAGACTGGTGCAGTTAGAGGCTTAATTGGACAATAATTCTAAAATGCATGGCAGTAAAGTTAGTTCACCATAAAGGCATTAAAAGTGTATTCGGAGAAAAGATTATTTTAACTACTGTGTCACTGTCTGTTAAGCATAGTGATAAAATGGATTATGTGTAGATTAGGCACCCCGGTTTATTTCAGATGAAGATTAACCACACCACGCTAATCTAACCTAATCTAACCTAACCTAACCTAACCTAACCTAACCACACCACGCCAATCTAACCTAACCTAACCTAACCTAACCCCCAAGTAGCATTAGGGTGTTTATAAGCTTGAGGTGAAATAAGCTGGGGTGCCTAACCTTCTCATGATTCTGAAAGTTTTACTCTTGGTAATACAGAATTTCTATATCAACGTTTACATGTTCTGAAACAATGGTTATAACAAGACACACTTAACATCAAAACCACCAGGTGTCATTGAAGCACTTTTGTAACGTTACGAGTTCAGGGGTGACAGTTTCCAGCCATGAGCGGGCAAATGTGGTATATTTCTTGCATGACTTGGGAACGAATTGGTGCCACTTTAATCAATGCATCCGTTCACCTTGAGATCCTTAAATGGTGTTATCATACTCCTGCCTGCCAGTCCATGATGAATATAAGTTCTTGTGAGGCTTTGTAATTTGTTATTTTCATTTTGTGATGAATTAATTTTTTTTTTGCTGTAAAGATTAACTTGGGAATGTGTAACTGGTACCTAAGTTCTGTGGTGTTCATATCGTTACTCAGATAATGTGATCTCTCTCTCTCTCTCTCTCTCTCTCTCTCTCTCTCTCTCTCTCTCTCTCTCTCCACTCCCCCCCCTCCCCTCCCTCCCTCTCCTCTCCCCTCCCCTCCCTCTCCCCCTCTCCCTTGTTTACATTTACTCAACTGTATGTATCTGACTTAAATATCTATTGCTAAAATCTGTGTTTCAGTGTTCAGCAGCAACTGGTGGCAGCGCGCAGGCTGGAGGCAGAGATGGAAGAGGTCCAGAACCAACTGGAGTGTGAACGGGAGGAGAAGGAGCAGTTGCAAACACGCCTCACATACCTGGAGAAGGACAACCTCACGCTCACCACCAGGCTTGAGGACCTCCTGCAACAGGTCCGTTCTCACCGTTTATTGACCTGTGTTTTGTTATTATTATTCCTTTCTCACTTTGTGTTGGGTGTATCATGGAAGAGAGAGAGAGAGAGAGAGAGAGAGAGAGAGAGAGAGAGAGAGAGAGAGGTGTTATGTGTGCACCTCTCACAACTATGATCTGGGTTCGAGTCCTGCTTGGCCCAGACACACGCGAGAAGGGTGTTATTCAGTGTAACAGTCACTCCCAAACATAGCAGGTTTTTCCTATCGCTGGACAATATAGTAACAAAGAACAGACCAATGTCTATTAAGTTGGTAAGTGATGAATGATGAATACAAATACAGTAATTGCAATTGTGGAAAGTGACAGGTAATGGTTAAGGTAACAAGTTGAAAAGTCTACATATATGTTTGTTTCGTTATCTTAAATAGGCAGTATACAGAGTGAATCTTGATACAGTATATATGTTGCTGCATGACTTAGTTCTATAGGGATGATAATGCTGTAACAGTTTAGACTATGCATGACACAGAATGATGGGTGTCTGTTTTGGCTCGAGGCACCCAACAGTAGAGAGGGTTAAGGCTTGCAAGGGTGAATTATAGCAGTGTGCCTGGGTTTATATTTTTTGAATACACTGTAGATGTATATGACTTGATGTATCTACCTAGTTTTCAAGGTTAAGAAATATATGGCAATAACATAGGACGGACATTCTTATATATTTTATTGGTATACAGTAATGTACTGTTCTTCACACACCCATCTTATTGTGCAGATGGAGAGTGACCAAGAGGATACGGAAAGCCAGGCAGCACTGCAGGCAGAGCTGGTGAAGAATCACAAGGATGAGGTGGCCACACTGGTCAATGAGCTGGCCAAGTGGAAGGTTGAAGCTGAAACACATGCACTGGCTGCACATCATCTGGATGAAACTGCTAAGGATCTTAGAAAACTCAATACGGTAATACTGTACTTAGTTAGAGGAGGAAGGTTTTGTCTTATGATAAAACTAAACCTGTCAAACACCTCACAGGCATAGCACACTCTCCTTTACTTTCATTTACTTTACAGTTAAGTAAAGGCTTCAACCTCATAAGCCCCAGTAATCCCCGAGAGAACTGCTGAATTCATGTAGTAGTTTGGATATAACTGGATAGGAAAGCTGCAACATTTTCCTGGTAATGAGAAGCTCTATCTTTGAGATGTTTGATGGAAGAACAACACACAGATATCATGCCAAAAATGTGTCCTGGGTGGCTTACTACTGTACTGCCCTTCATTTATGATATAAAGAAAACTGTCGCAGTATAAAGTTAATTTTGATAGCCCTTAGTAATTGCTGTGGGAAAGAAGGATCTCTGTCCATAGCTTGTGAGCAGTCTCTGCCTATTTAATATATGAACTGTTGTCGTACCTGTTGTACAGTACCTTATCTGAGCCAACCTCAGTTATACATGATAAACTGTAGATCCTTAAGTTAATGCACAGAGCAGTACTCTAAAAAGGGGGAAAGGGGATGGGCATTAGGCGAGTCAGTTGTATTAATCGTAACATTTGGTTTTACTCTGACAAGCTCACTCATGTAAGACTTAGGATAGTTGGAATCAAGCAGCTCATTCTCCCACCATTCATTCTCTGGTAACTCATCAGCAACAAACCTGATTAACCAGAACACTTTTAGAAAAATCTTTAAAACATTCTGTATTTCCAGGCTCTCCGGGATGAAAAGGCCAATTTGGAGGAACAGCTGGCCCACTTGAAGGAGGAGCTTGTCTCAGCTACCCACTCTGAGACAGAAGTAAGTTTTTATTGGTAGAAAATACATAGATGTGTAATAAGTATAAGTAACAGTAACAATATAGGACGTTAAGGAACAGCATGAAGATGTGTGTGTGTATGAGTGAGGTTTAAGTTTTAACAATGAAAGAAGAAATTATATTAGGTGTACAAATATTGAATAAATTAGACAGACAAAAAATTAATCCTTTTACAAACCCAAACTTTCTCAACATTTTTAATTGTTTTGATGCAGAGAGGTCAGACAAGTGCTGACTCTTATTTGGTAGCATTCAGCAGCTACTGTAGTGGGTTACCTTACTTTCCTGATGTGATGTTAGTCCATCATAGAGTTGTTCCATCATCAAGAAGTACAGTATACGTAACTGTGTTCACATTTTATGATATTTATTGCTGAGTGTACAAGGATTAGTATACAAGGATGGAACTCAGATCTTTTCAGTGCTACTGGTATTATATTTAACACACAGTGAAACCTCCATTTAACGAACTTTTCTCTCCATAAACCATTAGGTGGGGGGGTTTCACATGACATACCCTCGATATAACGGACTTTCTTCTCTATATAGTCCACTAAATAGAGGCTTGACTGTACAGCAAGAAAAATTATTTACTCTCATTAAACATCAAATGATATGTAATAACTATATTCCTTTGTGCTGTTGTAGATTAGTGGCATTGATGTGGGTGAAGAGGCTGAACAAAATAATGTGGATTCAGAGGAAGTAATGTTGTCCAGACCTCACAGTAAGGGGACCTGGGGAGCACCTTCGTTCTCCACTCCTTACTGCAACAAGTCAGCTTTATCATCCCCTGAAGATACTCCTCTCAGCATACACTCTGAAATACAAACAATGGTAGGTATGATAAACTAAAGCTTATTTGGTATCTCCATTACAGCTTAGTGAAAATGAAATACAATCAATGGTACAGTGAACTAAAGCATATTCAGTATCTCCATTGCAGCTTAGTGAAAATGAAATAGAAATAATGGTACAGTGAACTAAAGCATATTCAGTATCTCCATTGTAGCTTAGTGAAAATGAAATAGAAACTGGTACAGTGAACTAAAGCTTATTTGGTATCTCCATTGCAGCTTAAATATGTAAAAATGTCCCCAAAATACAAACATTAGTAAAGCTAACACTACTGTGACTAATTAGTACACTTCTGAGTATAGCTTAAAAAATAGGGTGTATAAACGACTCACAATGGCACAGGTAATTAAAGCTGGATAATAGCTTGTTACAGCTTGAAAATGAGGTTGTCCAAAGGTTAATTTAGAGGCTTGTTAAGGTTATTAGAGTACTATAATTATCACAGCAGCAGGTTTTTAATTTGAGGTCACTTTGTTTAACCCTTTAAGGACGATCGGACTCAAGGGGTTATGATATTGTACTCAAGATTTTAAGATATCGTACTCTAGGGGTTATGATATTGTACTCAAGAGTTTTATTGACAGCATGGAATTTACTGATATTGATAGAGTTTATTGAACCATATACAGATTCAGAGTGGACAATAAAAACAACTTCGACCTTTTAGAGGTTAAATTACTGGTAAATAAGGTTCATTAAATATGGTTCAGTATCATTAATGAGTCGGCGTAGGAGAATATCTTAATAGTTATTCAAGTTGGTGTATTGATACTGATAGATCTCCTCCTCAAAGACTGTTCTCCATAATACAGTAGGGGTGTATGTTCTCCACAATACAGTAGGTGGTGTGTGTTCTCCATAATACAGTAGTTGATGTATTAGTAATGAATGTGTTTTATCTTGTGAAGGGCGAGTACAGCGGGTCATTGCCGTTCTGCGAGAAGAGCAAAAACACTACCTCATCTGTCGTTAAGAGTGAGGCTGGTGTGAACACTGTGCCTCAGCCTTATCTCTCGGACAAAAGTTTATCATCACTGACTAGTCTTCTTAACAGCATGGTAATTACAGTACTATCTTTATGTGTATCAGCTGAATGTGTTATCTTATTCATCAGTTTTATCTAACAAGGTAGTTTTTATAGTGGTCTTCTCACCATCATACTATATATTAACTCTTGTTTTAATACCACGTGTACATATGTGTCAGGGCTGAGATGGTTTCAGGTGTATGTAAAGAATAGAGGAGACCAACTGGGTGAAGATATGAACTCTAAAGGAAGGAGAGTCAGGGGTAGGTTTAGAATGACATGGGAAGAGGCTGTAGGTACTGATCTCGGGGAATAAGCATCTGACGAGAGAGGCTGGAAGAGAGCTGCCATCAGGTAATCGTTTGCTAGCCCTTGATGGTGTGTGGGATGGGCCATGATAATTGGTGATGATTGAGGAAAATAATATGGAAGATAATTGATTCATTAGTTATTTATGGGTAAGGAAGATTATAAATGATAGCTAAATTTACTGATTGTTGATAAAAGGTTGATATTTTAATGGATAACGAGTATTTTATAGGATAGATTTAGTTATGAATTGTGTATAGATAATGACATTCATAAAGATATCCATCCATCCACAACAGTTAAAATGGTGGAGAGACTGGGAGGAGCGAGGTGTTCCACTGCTGAAGGGAACGATTGAGGAAGACACTGCTGCCCTTCACGTCCACTTCATAGCTCACCATGGTAAGCTAAAGAAGGACAAGTTAAAAGAACAATGATGTTTTGGTTTGGAATAATAATCTCACTAGCTACTGTAATTATCACAAATATCCATCTTCTGTATGGACTTGTCTCTGTGTGTGTGTGTGTGTTCAAGGTACTGTAACCAAACAGCTAAGTGATTACTCTACTGTATTTGTTATGAATGGCTAGGTTGGATAGTTTTAAGATACTGTATATTTCTCTTCCTATGAGGTTAAGTTGCTTTTAGATACTTTTCCTTTCATGTTCAAGTAAGGTTATTTAAAATACCAGTGTAGTATATCATCTACACTGAGAGAGAGAGAGAGATCATCAATCTTAAAACTTTGGCTGATTCCCGGTCACATCAGAGATCATCATTCACTACAGGTTGCTCCCCCTGCTCACCCCTCCCTTGTATCCTCCACTGGGTGTTAGGCTTTTGTTTATGGAGAAGAACCACCTATTTTTATTATTGTACTAAGAAGCGTCATATATTTGAGGGGGAAAATTTCATCATCATGAGGTAGAATTTCTTTGCACTGCTTCACTCTGGGGTTTGGCCATATCAGAAGAGCCTCCAGTCCTACATATCACTACCATATCTCCCCTGTTCTCCCTTTCCTCCCCCTTATTTCCCCTTTAAGTTATTGGAACATATAGACAAAATGTAATTATTTGTATATATGATGATTTTTATAATATTGTGAATTATGTTGACAGAGGAGCTGCTGAAATTAGAGAAGGAACTACAGGAGATAAAGAAACAAATTGTGATACATACTCCTCCACCGTCCTCTGGAAGAACGTCAGTAAGTGATGGTTGTAGGGAGGGTTCACTGAGTAGCCCCCGTGATACACAGTTGCCATCTGCCCAACATGTTACGCCCAAATCAAAGCCCCAGAAGACTCCAGGGTCTCTTGTGTCTCAGTTGATCTCTAGATTTGAACAGTCTAGTCGTTCCACAAGTCCAGCGTGCTCAGAGCTGAGTGACAGGTTTGGATTTGTGGAGTGTAATAGTAATTTATCCAAAATGGTGGAAAGATCCAGGGCAGGCAGAGGTTCATCGAGTTCTTACCCGGATCATGATTGTGGCCGCAGCTCTCCCAGTTATGATGGTGGTAGAAGTTCTGCCAGTTCTGACTTCGGTAGAGCTTCCCCTAGTTCTGAACACACCTCGCCTACTTTTAAGACCATGGAGGATCATAAGATTCAAAAGAAAAACTCCTCTGAGTCAGACTCATGCTTAGGCAGCAATTTAGTGATAAGTGAAGAGAGTGGTGATGAGCATTATTGTAGCAGTGATATACTGAGTGCCAAAGACTGTGTGGGTGAAACAAGCCCAACTTCTCAGGAATATATTGATATTGTACTTCATAACAGTATTGAACAAGATACGGATTTTACTTACATGGATACTGAAAATACAGTGCAAGAAACGAGCACGACTGTAGTGTGTGATAATATAGAGGAAGACAACAAAGAGGAGGACCTTCCTGAAGATACAGAGAAGTTTGGTGGAATATTACTAGACTGTGGCCTTGAAACTGAGGACCTCGTGACAAAAGAAGACAACAGAAAGGAGGATAACAGAAATGTGGAGAATGAGGACCATACAGGTTCATCAGCACACAGAGATGACCAAGAAAAGGATAATGGAAGCACCACCACCGTCGAGGTTGATATTGAACTAGAAACCGACATATACATGGAGACCAGTCACTTGATGAAGCTGATGAATGAAGTAGTTGAGCAGAGGACCATCATTCAACAACTGAGGGAACAGGTATAATACTTTTGTGACTTTTTGTTTTGTTTTGGAGGTGGTGTTGGTGTATGGGGCTGGGCTGTGTGAAGTGACAGGGATAAGCCAGACTGATATTGAGAGGAACACCACAGCAGAGGGCATTTGTAACAACTGTAAGAGTGATAGAATGACAGAGAGAGAAGATAGTCTGTATTGGCCATGTTAAGATATATACAGTACTCTACATTTAAAAGGAAGGACAGTGTAAATAAACAGTTCTTTACACCACATTGAAAGAAGGAATTGGCAATGAGGATTTGATTAACAGAGAATAAGTACCCGGTAGTTATGAAGAGGATGAAGGATGTCTTAGTGGTGATATTTAGAAATGGTATAGATAAATATGTTGGATATATGATGATGTAAAAGCGTATAGAGAATGTTTATGATAGTGCTATTGAAGGTAGAGTGGAGGGATATTTTTCTAATGGGTTCCAGGCTTAATATACCTCAGCTTAACCTAACCCAGCTTATGGTATTAGATTATGACCTAGTATTAATTAATGAATCTCACTTGTAAAGGAAACTTGTTCTGTTGGTTAGGTCAGGTTGGGGCCATTTGATCTGTAACTGAATGGGTGGTGAGGCTGTGGGTTAAAGGGAGGTAGTGGGTTAAGGGGAAGCGGTGGGTTATAGGGAGGCAGTGGGTTATATGGAGGCAGTGGGTTATGAGGAGGTAGTGGGTTATAGGGAGGTAGTGGGTTATATGGAGGCAGTGGGTTATATGGAGGCAGTGGGTTATAGGGAGGTAGTGGGTTATATGGAGGCAGTGGGTTATGAGGAAGCAGTGGGTTTTTGTTAGTAATATATTGTTTAAGAAAGAGGAAAAGGTGAAAAAGTATTTATCATCGTGGTGATCTAAGTAACATAGTTGATTAAAGTACGGTCTATAGGGGTTCAAGTTGAGTACTGTATATACTTATGTACTATTCTTAGGGAAAGTAGTGTTAGAGACATTCACACCTCTTCATGCAGATATACATTATTTTATCTTCAATCTTATTCATATTTTCATTTGTTATTTCTCAACTTGTTCAACCATTCTCCCACATGTCCAATCATCCTGACTATTTTAGGCGTCTATAAAATGAATCCTTAGTATTTTGCTGGGATTATATTTCAGCTGACCCTCATGGAAGATAAGAAGGAGTCTTTCACTGCTGTGCTGACCCGCTTGTATCGTCTCACCCTGCAGGTCTCCACAGATACTTACAAGTAGGTGCTTGTTGTGTCTCTAGTTCCTCAGTAGTCTATCTCCCTTAAGTTCTGATATGTAGTTATGTTTTTATTCTCTGCTGGTTGGTCAGAGGACATTGCAGTAATGTACAGTCCCCTTCACTAGTGCGTATACAGGGGCTCGTCATATAAACATTCCATAAATCATTGCATTGTGATATTTGTTTTAATATTGTTGTAGTCCTTTGATTCCGGTATTATGTTTACTATGGCGAGTTTCCTTCTGTTGAGTGTAAACAAACACAGGGCTACCACACTGCACAACACCTGACGAGCCACTGTAAATGCACTAGTGAAGGTGATTGTACATGTGTGTTTTGTGGTTTCTGTGACAATCTGATTTACAACCGATCATCATGGGGGTGAGAGCTGTCCACTACAAGTAGGTCCTGCCAGGTAGGTCTAATGCTGTGATTTATAATTAGTGAGCAGAAGATCTAGGTCGGTTCTTGGTATACCCAGGAAATGTTGGCATAATCCATACTGTACACTGTCTTTAAATATACCTGAACCTGTGCCAGTGTTTGTCAGATGTGGCCTTAAAGTAGCTCACATTTGGGGCTGTCACAACATTCTCTGGTGAAATGATAAATACTGTAATCTACACTTCTGATTCTAAAGAAGTTACCGCTGGACATTTCTCTGTACTTGTGGCTTAAAAGAAAATGGTCTCGTCACGGGTGTTTAATATTAGGGGTAACTTTGTCGATTCTCATGACTGTACTACATTTTAGCTCGTCGTTCGGGCGGTTAGTCTCCAGTATCCCAGGAGTCTATCCAGTGTCTCAGGGGTCTACCCAGTGTCTCATAAGTCTATCCAGTGTCTCAGGGGTCTATCCGGTGTCTCAGGGGTCTATCCAGTGTCTCAGGGGTCTATCCCACTGTCTCAGGGGTCTATCCAGTGTCTCAGGAGTCTATCCAGTGTCTCAGGGGTCTATCCAGTGTCTCAGGGGTCTATCCAGTGTCTCAGGGGTCTATCCAGTGTCTCAGGGGTCTATCCAATGTCTCAGGAGTCTATCCAGTGTCTCAGGAGTCTATCCAGTGTCTCAGGAGTCTATCCAGTGTCTCAGGGGTCTATCCAGTGTCTCAGGGGTCTATCCAGTGTCTCAGGGGTCTATCCAGTGTCTCAGGGGTCTATCCAGTGTCTCAGAACATAAGAACATAAGGAGTCTGCAATAGGCCTGTTGGCCTGTGCATGGCAGCTCCTGTCGAGAGTTACTACCACTCTCTATCATCCATGAATCTATCCAGCTTCCTTTTGAAACTTTCCAGAGTTCCAGCACTTACTACAAAGTTGCTAAGCTTGTTCCACTCGTCCGCCACCCTATTTGTGAACCAGTTCCTTCCTATCTCCCTCCTAAACCTAAACTTATCCAACTTAAACTGCTGCCACGAGTCCCATCCAGTTGTCTCCAGTCTATCCAGCGTATCAGGGTCTATCCAGTGTCTCGAGGATCTATCCAGTGTCTCGGGGGTCTATCCAGTGTATCAGGGGACTATCCAGTGTCTCAGGGGTCTATCCAGTGTCTCAGGGGTCTATCAGTGTCTCAGGGGATTACATCGGTGTCTCAGGGGTCTGTCCAGTTGTCTCGGGGCTGGAGCCAAGGGAGTATGTCAATCTTAAAAAGAAAGGAAACCACACACACACACACACACACACACACACACACACACACACACACACACACACACACACACACACACACACACACACACACACACATTTTCTTTCTTTCTTTTTCCAACTTAGCAACAACTTTCTTTCCTAGTACTCTTGGAGTTCTACTAACTTTTTCTTTTTCAATTCTTTTCCAGTGTTCGACCAAAAACAGTATTATTGCTTCCTTACTGTACTGTACATATCTTTGATTATTATTATTATTATTATTATTATTATTATTGTATTATTATTACGTATTATTTAGCGGTGGTCACTAATGCAATCTGGCCCTAACTTACATTCCCTGACCAACTAGCAGGCTGGGCCCAACCTAACTTGACCTGACCTAACCTAACTTGACCTGACCCAACATAACCTAACTCAACCCAACCCAACCTGACCCAACCTGACCCAACCCAACCCAATGCCAGAGACTATAAACTTTGAGAATCTGGTCCCTGGGGTTCGACCAATGGGAGGTAGGGAGAGGGATTAATCGACCAATCAAGAAGCTCTTTGTATTACGTGTCCCTTAAAAAAAATAAAACACCAATCAGGAGCCAACACGCGAGCCTCCCCAACATGGCGGCCATTGAGTTAAATAGTAATGTTTATATAACGTTATAAATGGATAAAATAAATGTTTATTATTGTTTTGATGTTATTTTGACGTTGGAGTAGCCAGAGTATTTGAGAACTGTCCATTGTGAGAGTGACTGTATCGTGTGTGTGTTGGTGATTATAGGAGTGACTGTATCGTGTGTGTGGTGGTGATTATAGGAGTGACTGTATCGTGTGTGTGGTGGTGATTATAGGAGTGACTGTATCGTGTGTGTGTTGGTGATTATAGGAGTGACTGTATCGTGTGTGTGTGGTGGTGATTATAGGAGTGACTGTATCGTGTGTGTGGTGGTGATTATAGGAGTGACTGTATCGTGTGTGTGGTGGTGATTATAGGAGTGACTGTATCGTGTGTGTGTTGGTGATTATAGGAGTGACTGTATCGTGTGTGTGTGGTGGTGATTATAGGAGTGACTGTATCGTGTGTGTGGTGGTGATTATAGGAGTGACTGTATCGTGTGTGTGTGGTGGTGATTATAGGGTGAATGTATCGTGTGTGTGTTGGTGATTATAGAATGACTGTATCGTGTGTGTGTTGGTGATTATTGGGTGACTGTATCGTGTGTGGTGAGGTGATTATAGGGTGACTGTATCGTGTGTGTGTGGTGGTGATTATAGGGTGACTGTATCGTGTGTGTGGTGAGGAGGTGATTATAAGGGTATGAAGCTGCCCTCGTGTGTGGTGGTGATTATAGGAGTGACTGTATCGTGTGTGTGGTGGTGATTATAGGGTGACTGTATCGTGTGTGTGTGTGGTGGTGATTATAGGGTGACTGTATCGTGTGTGTGTTGGGTGATTATAGGGTGACTGTATCGTGTGTGTGTGGTGGTGATTATAGGAGTGACTGTATCGTGTGTGTGGTGTGGTGATTATAGGGGTGACTGTATCGTGTGTGTGGTGGTGATTATAGAATTGACTGTATATCGTGTGGTATTGTGGTGGTGATTATAGGAGTGACTTTATCGTGTGTGTGTGGTGAGTGATTATGGAGTGACTGTATCGTGTGTGTGTGTGGTGGTGATTATAGGAAGTAGCACTGTATCGTGTGTGTGGTGTTGGTGCTGGGGTGACTGTATCGTGTGTGTGGTGGTGATTATAGGAGTAACTGTATCGTGTGTGTGGTGGTGATTATAGGGTGACTGTATCGTGTGTGTGGTGGTGATTATAGGGTGACTGTATCGTGTGGTGGTGATTATAGGGTGACTGTATCGTCTATTGATGTGGTGGTGATTATAGGAGTGACTGTATCGTGTGTGTGTGGTGGTGATTATAGGAGTGACTGTATCGTGTGTGTGTGGTGGGGAATAAACTCATAGCATGTGAGGACACGAGACCCACATGTTGGATCAGGAATGTTCACTCTGCATGTGTGGCCAGCAGCCCCTCGTGTTCATTGTTATCTGGTGAGTCCGCTGGTAGTTAGTCGCGGCCCAGCTATGTGTCTTGACCCAGCGGTGAAAGTGAGTCATGACCCCCCACCAGCTGGGAGTCATTTCTCGCCAGTCTGTTTTTCTCTGTTAATATGACTGTGTCCTGACTGATCTAAACAGTCAGTCATGCTTATGGGTCCCACTTCGTTCCCATCCCATCAGTCAGGTTCATCTCTCTCTCTCTCTCTCTCTCTCTCTCTCTCTCTCTCTCTCTCTCTCTCTCTCTCTCTCACGGTCACAGGGTGGTGGGTGTACCAGGCTGCGGAGGTCGACTGTCTTTTATTAGTAAAGTTTTAACAGTATTCGGCCAGGTTTTATTGACACGTGTCCAACCTTCCAGCTTTTATAGATATTTTTTTATATTTTTTGTATTTTCTTTTGCTTATTGTTTCCATGTTGTGTTGAGTAATGTAATTTATAATACAGCAGTAGTGTGTATTTATTGTGGGGTGAGGTGGCAGAGTGGATATGGCTGTAGGGTGAGGTGGCAGAGTGGATATGGCTGTCGGGTGAGGTGGCAGAGTGGATATGGCTGTCGGGTGAGGTGGCAGAGTGGATATGGCTGTCGGGTGAGGTGGCAGGTGGATATGGCTGTCGGGTGAGGTGGCAGAGTGGATATGGCTGTCGGGTGAGGTGGCAGAGTGGATATGGCTGTCGGGTGAGGTGGCAGAGTGGATGTGGCTGTGGGTGAGGTGGTAGAGTGGATATGGCTGTCGGGGTGAGGTGGCAGAGTGGGATATGGCTGTCGGGGTGAGGTGGCAGAGTGGGTATGGCTGTCGTAAGTGAGGTGGCAGAGTGATATGGCTGTCGGGTGAGGCAGAGTGATGCGGCTGCCGGGTGAGGTGGGCAGAGTGGATATGGCTGTCGGGTGAGGTGGCAGAGTGGATATGGCTGCCGGGGTAAGGTGGCAGAGTGATATGGCTGCCGTGGGTGAGGTGTGCAGAGTGGATATGGCTGTGGGTGAGGTGGCAGAGTGGATATGGCTGTCGGGGTGAGGTGGCAGAGTGGATATGGCTGTCGGGTGAGGTGGGCAGAGTGGGTAAGTGGCTGTCGGGTGAGGTGGCAGAGTGGATATGGCTGTCGGGTGAGGTGGCAGAGTGGATATGGCTGTCGGGTGAGGTGGCAGAGTGGGATATGGCTGTCGGGTGAGGTGGCAGAGTGATATGGCTGCTGGGTGAGGTGGCAGAGTGATATGGCTGTCGTAAGTGAGGTGCTGAGTGGATATGGCGGTCGGGTGAGGTGGCTGAGTGGGATATGGCTGTCGGGTGAGG